TCGTCCACCAGGACACCCAGGTCTCTCTCCGCAGAGCTGCTCTCCAGCAGGTCAGCCCAAGCCTGTACTGATGCATGGGGTTGTTCCTCCCCAGGTGCAGGACCCTGCATTTGCCTTTGTTGAACCTCATCAGGTTCCTCTCTGCCCAACTTTCCAGCCTATCCAGGTCACGCTGAATGGCAGCACAGCCTTCCGGTGTGTCTATCACTCCTCCCAGTTTGGTGTCATCAGCAAACTTGCTGAGGGTACATTCTAACTCTTCATCCAGGTTGTTGATGAAGAAGTTAAACAAGACTGGGCCCAGTACTGACCCTTGGGGGACACCGCTAGTTACCGGCCTCCAACTAGACTCAGCGCCGCTGATGACAGCCCTCTGAGTTCTGCCATTCAGCTAGTTCCCAATCCACCTCACTGAAAACACATACCCTTTACATCTTGGCTGCAAAGCTGGTCTGCTTAAAAAGAATGAAAAAGTGATAATGATACACAAAATGGAAGTTTAAAGTGTTCAAAAAAATGTTAAGTGTTTTACAGACAAGGCTTCTTTTTTCTACAGGTTGGTTGTTTTTTTAAGATAATGAAACAATACAGGGCACCTGGAAGCACACAAAGGCCAAACCAAAAATAAAAAAAACAAGATACTGTTCCTCCAAAGAGCTGCCATTCATAGACTGCTTGGTGCTGACCACCAACAGAGAACAAACAAAGCGAACCATAACGGCCATGACCAAAGTCTTTAAAAAACTGAGTATCCAAAATGAGCCTCTCAGATTGGTATCTGTGGACCCCACAAAGCGGGTGAGTTGCAAGACTAAGAGCATTCAGCAACTTTTTTTCTGATCATGCATCTGAATTTCCCTCTGGTCAAAATTTGTCTAACTTTCCTCCAAACATTAGCCCAGGCCAAGAACACCCGCTGAACAGGGTTCATTCTTGCATAATGCAATGCCTGTGAAATTACCGTCAAACATACAGAGAGACTGGGACAACACTCAGTTTCCTCAGCCTGCAAAAACCCCGAACTCCCTGGACACAAAGGCACTCGGCTACATCAGGGTGTGCTGCCTAGAAAAGTGTATTGCACAAACAGGCAACACAAGCTTCTTCCAGTCGCTCCCTAAAGCGCTGCCTCCGCTCCCATACCACAGCTTTCCACGAGTCACACCCAGGCAGTGAAGTCACTCTCTCCACTGGCAAACCAAACTCCGGCAAAAGTAGGTTAGACAGGTGACAACAAGAAGTATCGTGATGAGTCTCATTTACCGTCTGCTGTGGCACTACACCAACTTACTTTACAGTGACGCCGAGTATGTGTAACAGTACAAATCAAAGGATGTACAGCTTTCCCTGTTATTAAAAAACTTACAACAGCTCAAGAACTGATGAAAAAATGAGATATAAATGAAGGTAAAGAGCATGGATGGATGAAAAATATTCCTCTGATAATGTTAATGTCCAGCAGCTGACAATTACCTTCGGCAATCTTTATTTCATATACTTCAAGTTGGCTGCCAGAAGCTGGTACAGTCCATTAGAAAACTTATTTATCCTGTATGCACACAGGTAATAAAGCTAAATTACAAACCTGGGAATGATTGCTTGAGGTCTCAATTTTCTCTTGAGATCTGTCTCTTGCTAGCTTGGCAGCTTCTTTTACTTCTTGGAATTTCTCTGCAAACTGGAAAAAGCATCAAAGATATTTATTAGAATTATTTATCATCTATTAAATTGTTCAGATTACTATATTTATATGGTTCATAGATCTCCAAAAGTGAACAACTAATTTTGATAATTTAAAAATTTTGGCAAGAAAAAACATTTTGACTTTTTGGCAGGGAGGTTCTTTCAAAAGGAATGGGGATGTTTCTAGAAGAGGAACATCTCTGTAGCTCTGCTTGATCACAAGAAAAACCCACGGAGAAAAAAAGGAGCTAGTAGTGTCTTCTGGTTTGATTTGGTTTTGTTTATTTGTTGAAAGTATAAAAGTATAAAAGATTCATGTTTGGATAAAAAAATTATCAGTGATGTATTCTATTCCTAAGAGTAAGTCAATTAAATTAAAGAATGCAAATGAGCTCATAAGATATCTGCAGGATGCAAGCAAGGGATTATCAAGACAGAAAAAAGGACAAAAAGGTGGATATGAATGTATGATTTGGCCATATGAAAACACAGCTTTTCTGGTCTAATTTTCTTACTACTGGCAAAAATAAAGGTAGAGGACTCCAGGGAAAGGCTTGAATGCTTCCTGTAAGCGGGTACAGCAAGCTGGGGGAGGCAGGGGAAGGAAAGACAAAGACGCAGAGTAACCATCCCGCTCTCCGTAAGCTGCTGCAGGACAGCTGCTCCGAAGCCATCGGGCACCTCTGAAATACCAGTATTATCACAGCCAGCCGGGGCTGTGGGGATTCAAACACTTTAAACAGTGTTTAAGTTTTAAAAGGAGGATTGCAAAGATGAAAGAAAAGGCATACAAAATTTTTTTCGTTAAGATGTGTCCTGTATAAGAATGGGTAACTTTGCCTTCCTGCTAAAGCTGCTTGGTCTTGCTTGCCTGTGCTTTGAGCAACTTGAAATGATAGAATGGAAAGACACATTAAAAGTGTAAATAAATAAATCTATTCTATTGCAGAGTTTGTGAATAAAAAAGACTGCCATTATATCCTCAGATAATTCAGAACACTTATGACAAAATTGTAAATAAAAACATGAACACACATCACATTTTATAGTCAAGGAACGGGAAGAATCATTATCCACTTATTAATCTTCTCTTCTAACTTTTAGATTTACTGCAGGTATTTAGCATGCTCATTCTCAGTAAAATACTGGGACTATAAAGACTGATACAACAAATCTTCTCCAACTGGTCTAAGAGAAATCTGCATTTCTATGTGGAGACACCTGCGTTTTGTGTAACACACACAAATGGAAATTTCCAACAAACAGACATATTTCATTCTTAAAACCCATGCGCGAGCACATTCTCAAGCCTGAGTGAAATTTCGGGTGTAGACCACGATCTGTGATGATGCTTACGAACAAAGATTGAGCTCTCAAATCCAGCTGTTTTCTATACAACAGCTGAAATTGCGTATGCAAAGTATGTCCTCTCTGCTGGCAGCAGTTGCTATCTGATGGCATATGCAGTGACTATCCACACAAATGACTTGATTACCTCTGTAGCACTATAAAAATCATTAGGAACAACTACATTACATTTTCGCCTTAAGTGATTTAACTCCAACTTTACAAAAAATGTATCTCCTGCTGTGACAAAACAGCTATAACAAACTGATTATTTCTAAAATATTATATCAACAGTAAGTTCCACACTTGTGTTTCCTGCAGACAGTAAAGGGCTGTTTTGAGTTTCTCTTTTACAATAACTCTTTATGGGCAAGTCTGAAAAATTTATGAGGGTTCTTCATGGACTATATGAAATATGAAAAGACAAAAAGAATTGGAAGTGATATATCAATTTTTTTTTTGCAGCTATCTTCATAAAACACACAGGAGACTGCTGTGAAAAACAATGTGAGCTGAGACAAAAAGGACATTTTTCCACATTTCCATAATAAAAATTGTATATGACTGAGCAAAGCTAACCTTCAATATAAATCTGATAATGATCTCATTGCACAATAGATTTCAGCCATGTCTCGAGTTTACCAACACGTGTATTTAACACATTTGCTTTTAGAAACAAGTACCAGTAACCAAATTTTTCACCATCTTAGTAACAGATCTTTGGCTTTACAAGTCAAAATATTACCCTCCATTCTCATTATTGTTACCAACTTGAAGCTGTCTGCAACAGAAACTGTGGTGAAAGACTGTCTCTGTTTTTTGCTTACCCCATACGCTTGGAAACAGTCAGTTCATCAAGAGTTCTGCTGCTGCTTCTTTTTTATTCTTAGCTAATTAATACCTGCTAGATTTTACTAACAGTCTGTTTTTGAAAGCTACAGAGGATCACTTGGCTTGTTATAAAATTAAAGCCTTTCACTTGATTACTCTTCGGAGTGCAGCAGCACGGTGGTGACACCCAGACTCGCGCAGCGTTACCAACGCTAATCACTACGGCAGCAGACCAGGCGTTCCTGCAGCTACCAAGATCCCGAGGCCATCTCTGAGAGTGATGGCATGGCCACAACAGCTTATCACTGGCAAAAATCAGAGAGATGTTTTCTCTCCAGTAATGGATTTCTTCTGTCCCAAACACAAATAATTGACAAATGATTGCTGCTAAAAACTCATGTGCCACCTCCAAGATCGAAGCTGACTTTGAGCTATCAAACCATTGCAACAATAGGGAGTGCTTTTTAAATGTGAAATTCCTCGTTAAAAATTGAAATAATCTTCCATTTAGTAAATGAAAACTTGTGGTCTCAAGAGGCAATGGCATGTATAAATACCCCAAACCAACTAAAAAAATCCTCATGCTCCTTCTCCTTCAATCTTTAGTCGCTTCATCTTCCCTTTCCTCCATCCTTGTCCTTGGGCAGGCAAAGGTCCTGAAAATCAGCAAAACAAAAGACTGGAGTAGGAGGAACACCAACTAACCACCACTCTAATAGTCCATCATGGATTATACGACATGTCTTCCCATGCCCCAAGAAGCTGTGAGACCAAGCTGCAATATGGAAAAGATGTGCTGCTACCAACACTGGTGAAGCCTTTCAGTCTAAGACTGCCGCAGCCCAAAAGCGCTGTTTGATTGTCGGTCTTGGCCAGGGAAACATAATGGGGACTCAAGGATGCTACTGTGCATCGCACAAATTATTTAAAGGCTGTTCAAATCTGCAGCCAGCTTGTCACCTGGAGAAATATATATATATTTAAATAGACCTTCTTAACATTTTATACATTAAAAAGCATCATTTTGTATGTGTAAATTTTAAGCTGCTGATCTGGCATAATATTTTACGTCTCCTACTGACAAATTGTGCCAGTGTCAGATAGATGAAACAGCTGCTCCCACCCAAAGCAGTCTCATAAATATTTCATCCCCCTCTCGGTTTGCAGACGGCTGGGTGATGCGATGGTCCTGTCTGGGAGCACTGCTGTGCCGTGCCCCAGCATGCACGCGTGGCTTTGCCTGTGGTTTTCTCCACATGAGCCCTCAGTTCCAGGCAGATCAGCAGCAAACAAGACTATTTATTTCAGAAAGTGCCTGGTAATTTGCCCCAGCACAGCCAGCGCGCTGCCAGCACCGATGCCGGCGGGACCGGGGGGGCTGTGCTGCGTGCTGGGGGCAGGGGCAGGCTCAGCTCTGAGCTTTCCCCCCTGCAACACGGTGCCTGGCAAACACCGCACACTTAACGTGCACGCACGCACAGAAATCAAGTCCAGTGGTCCCCAGATGCTGGATGCAGTTGCTTGATGATGTGCAAAGCCTGGGTTTACTGCGTTTCTCACCTATATAAATCTCTGTCCCTATGCCCTTGACTGCCTACAGCTCCTCGGATAGCATGTCTGCATCGAAGCATCCTGAACGCTAGCAGGAATTTTACTTCACTGCTTCATGTGCAAAACATACCACTACCTTTACAGCACCAGCCTTGCCTCCTCATCCCACGCAGGCACACCATCAATTCTCTGCTGATTCCTGTTTCAGTTTGGCTGTGGCAATGTCTGAATAACGTCTTGAGACCTTTTGCAGGCACAGGGTGGGAAGGGGGAAAGGAGGGTCAGCAAGTACTCCAAGAGGGGAAAAGGACCCCGAGTAGGACATCAGCTTTAAGCCCTGGGATTCTCCCAATCAATGTGAATGGTAATTAGGTTACTAGGTCACTGAATGCAGTTTTCATTAATGGCTCATGTTTAATTTTAACTGCTTTTCCCTATAGGTATGGATTAATGCTTAAGTATCTCAAGAGACGCAAGGCATTAGAAAGAGGCAATATCTTTTATTAGGCCAACCAATATACTTAAAAATGCGGACATTTTTAGGCACGCTAACCTCTTCTCATGGCTCATTATTATTCATTGTTTTCAGCAGACATGTTTCAGATTTATTTATTTAGTTATTTATTTAAAGCCAGGGCTATTGATCTCTGGTTTAGAGGAGTATAGTGTGTCCCAGTACCTGACTAAAAGCTTCAATTATTTCCAGTAAAACCAGCAAGCTTTAATTTATATATCTCATAAGAGTATAATGATATCTACATAAAATGAAACTTGATTTTACCACTCCCAATACACTTCTACATCTGTAATCTCTCCCACCATCTCTGATTTTTTGGACTAATGGTTCAATAATTAAACTGAGGAGCATGGATGATAACGGGTATCTTTGTCCCATTGTTTTGCAACCAGGTTTTCTGACATTTTCCAGATAGATAACTGTCAGGCTTTTGTTTAAATAGATCACCTCCAGCCATTTTCAGAAGTGCTCCCCTGAAGCTCCTCTTAGATTTTCTGACCAGAAAAAGTTTTCCGGATGATTTGGAAAGCATTTCCTGCAAGTAGAAGGCTGTATAATCTGGAATGGGCTCTTCAGCAGCACAGAGAGATGTGCAAACCGATCTGGAGAGAAACACAGCTGGTGCCAAGGCCCCTGCGCTCACACTGCGCATTTTTCAGATTGGTTCCAGTCTGGCCACCTGAACATTAAGAGCTGCTTTCTGATACCAGCATTAAATTTACCCTAAGTACATGTTTGCACTGTTTTGCAGAATATGATAAAATCTTTCTGATTAGGGTGCAAGTACCTCCAAATGTACCTCACGCCTTGTTACACCTCTCGTCTCCCAAGCCAGCCCCAGCATCACGCTGCTCCATGTGGCGCGTGGTGCACGTTTAACCCCAGCTGGCACCGAGGCACCACGTGGTCACCTGCCATGTTGCAGAGGTGTGAGTTCAGTAATGCAGAATTAAAAATTACTGTCCAAAGGTGCTAATTCTTTCATTTGGTGTCCAAAGGTTGCACTGTATCATGCTTATCTGTTACTCAAACCAAACTATTCCCCAAAGTCCACTTTAATCCTCCCATATTCCCATACTAATTATTTAGCTATTACGAATGACTCTTTGCCACAGGAGTGGAGAATATGTATAGGTGAAATGAACAGTCCTCTACACTTGATTAAGCATCATAAAATGTAACCAGCACCTCATTATTAAAAAACAGTTTTGCATGTGATTGGTTGGGTGGGCTTCACATCCCAGAAGAGCCAATTATTGCCATGGCTTTATGGACTTGCCAGGTCCAAAAATGATTTAACGTGAAAGTAAAATATGTTTTACCTTTAAGGAATACTTGCAAAACATGCAATTCTCTGGAAGTTGCAAAAACTCAGTAAGACAGACTTAGTGAAATAAATTCCTACCACAATTCAGTTGATGGAAAGGTCCTCCTTCTCTTGCAATGCTCTGCCTTTGCTATTTCAGACACTACAAGAAACACCTTGTTCTCCTGATGCTTTTCTCACCGAAGCACACAAGGGAACAGCGACACGAGAGACCACGTGCCATGTCCAAGGACACAATGTTGAGTTAACTGACAAAACCCAGTGCCAAGCAGCTAAGCTTCAGGTGTCAATTATGTGTTAGATAAGTAGGGTGTTTTTTTTTACTACATGAACAAACAAACATCTCAGCTGTTTGAAGAGCACTTGGCAAGACCACTAATCTAATGACAGAGGATGTATTTTAAACTGCTGGTGATTCATGACAAGAGGCAGCTCTAGGCTTTACAAGCCTGCTGTTGTAGCCAGTCCCTGGTCCAGGGAAACACTGCATTAACACCAAATCCACATCTGGGGTCCAGCTCCAAGCAAACCTGGCGCCAGACCTCCCCGGCCACTCATCCCCCTGTCCCTGCCATGACTCACTGCTTGCTCCTCAGGTCTGTGATAAAGCCGCTTTGGGTCAGGGCTGCAAATCACATTACTGAGCTGAAATGCCAAAAATGCAGTATTATTTTAACCCAGATCAGTTTACTGAGCCTCCTGACAGCACGGCTCCACCAGCAGCCGTATCTGCAAACCAGCAAGCCCCAGGGGCTGGCACCTGCTCTACCTTCCCTGGCTACCAACAGCAGCAAGTCATCAAAACGTACATTTCTAAGGCTGGAACAGCAACTCTCTTCTTTCAGACACATTAGGCAGCCTCAGTGCCAACAGTTCTGGCTTATCAGCGGTTGCCTTTGCTTTTGGTGATGCTTTAAGCCTAAATGAGCCCACAGGGCAGGGAGATGCCAAAAAATACTTCAGAGTTCAGATTGTTTCTGCAAACATCTGAAAACACAAATGCTTTCAGCCACGCTGGGCAAGATACTGTTGATTTCCCCCGGCTACTACGATACTCAGTGGTCAGATTTAATTTATCATTTTGGCCATGAAGTTTGCAATAATGCCTGCTTCTGTATATACAGAACTGGGTAGTTGTAGGAGATGGGCAGCTGGCATGGATGAAAAGGACTTGCAGAAGCATGCAGCTCAGAAGAAGTCGGATGGATACATACAACCCTTCTTAATAAGAAAGAAGACAGCCTTTGCAGAAATTCAGTGAGCCCCGGTACCTTCGTCAGCTGCTGCTCGGAGGGAAAGCCCAGACCAAAGACAGTATTGGCTCTGCTGTCCGCCCACTGGCCAAACTTCTGCGATGTCTTAGTGAAGGTCATGTTAGGTGTGATTGTGCTGTTTATGATCACCTGTTTAAAAACAGATCAAAAAAGAATTACAAAGTAGAAGTCACATTGGAAAGGCATATCCTAGCAACGGTATCATCCAAAGCAATTAGCAGTCTAAATTGGAAAACTGCAGTATTCAGAAGAATTTTTTCCAAAACAAAACAATTTCTATCTTGCCTTACTTCATGCAGGAATTTCATTGTTTTGTCTTCTTTTTCCAAACCACTATCACGGTCCTGCAGTTAAACACCACTGCAGGAATGTGTCTGAACTCCAAGCAACAGCAGGGACAGGAGCTATCAAATTACCCTGGCAGAAATGCAGATGGAAAATCCTCTTTTTTCAGCATTACAAAGGCACAGGGCTACTCCCACCACCCTGCCAGGCACCCAGGATGGCCGAGGCAGGGCATCCGCCAGCCCCACCTGCCCTCAGGCTGGAAGAGCAAAGACATATGACTGCATTTCTCCATTTCTCCCTGGGTCTCCACAAGTAGGATGCCTGAGACATGTCAGAAATCAAAAAAAACAAAAACAACACAACAAAAAACAAGGCAAGGAGAAACTGATAGCTTAATAATGAATTTAACTTGGGAGGGTGGTGAAGTGCATCACCAGCAATGCACTGGTGTCAAACGTGGGCCTCAAGGTAAATATTCTGCCACTTTACACGAGTTAGCTAATATCTGCTTCACCACCAGCAACCTTGAAAGCAATGGTGGTTCTTGTAATTACAGAAATAGCCAACATGAGGAGGGCTGTTGGGATGAAGTCTCTAAGGAACTTAGTAGAACAAGCATAAAACGTGATCTTGCAAAAAGGAATGAGATATATGTCAGTTCATTATCAAAAATCTTAACTTTCTTTTCAAGACACATCATTATATAAGTCTAGAGACTCCTTCCCCTGGAAATTAATTCACGTACAATGTTCCTTCTGCTAACAGAATAGAAGCTTTCTTTAGTAATGCGTACCATCATTTCCAATATGCAAATTATGCAGTAATTAAGCCAAATCTGTGGGACAGTTTAATTAACGTGATCAGGAAGTATCCTGGCAACATCATTTACTATGTATTCCAAGCAGTTTTTTTCCTAAGGTATCATTTACATTTAGCAAAAGTGAGAGTTAAATTTACCAGAGAAAGATCTTTACTTGTCTCTGTCTCCTCCCTAACTTCTGACCTCTGTGTCGATGCTTTTATTTGCTTTCTTAGATATTGCTCAACTTCAGCAGTTCCCTCTTTTTGCATCATCACTTTCAAATAAACATACGCTTTTCTGCCATTTCCTACCATTGAAAGTTTCACCGAAAGGACTGAACAGAGGAGGGCCAGGTTGCTGGTACCCCTGAAATCGTTTTTAGCATGGGAATGAACAGGGCAACAAGGGGGCGAGGTGACCCTGCAGCCAGCGCGGGCCGTCACATGCCACACAGACATCACCTTTCAGGGACGAAACATCTTTTTGGAGGAGCGGCTGACAGGCAGAGATACAAGCAAAGCTGCCCAGACACGCTCTCCTCTGGCTAAGTCATACGACAGAAACGCAGCCAATATAAAACCTAAGTGCGATTTCAGAGATTTAAATGAAAAGAAAATCAAAGATTTTATGTAGGATTTTGACAATGCAAAGGGAGTATGATGATATGAGGACTGCATGATACAGAGAGTCACAAGAACAGGAGGAAAAGCTACCACCAACCCAGAAAAATCAGGACGCTTTCCAAAAACTTCAAGGAAAGTGCTATATGTATATTTCTTCTTTAAAAATCTTACATCAGACAGATGAACTACTTACAAATGTTTAGCTCCTCAAGCTGCAGAATTTATTTGAGCAGTTCTGAAATACCCAGAAATTTCAACTGATAAAAAGTATTACTGCAGTCCTACTGTGCCTATCAAATTAGACATCTATGGGGAAAAACTAATAAAATGACCCATTTTATTGAAAGGCAAAAGCCTCACTCACTGGAAGCAGGCTCTGAGAAGAATAAAATTCTTCTGTACCTCCTACAATAATCACTGAGTAAATACAAACATATAAAAAAACCACACCAAAGATATCTTTTAGACCACAGCCCAGTATTATCAAAGATGTGATGAAAGGAATAGTGAAGCCTGGAAATTGTAAAACCAAGAAACATCTTATTGAGCAATGAAATGCCCTGCAATAGCTCAGCACTTTAGAGGTTAATTTTTTCTACAGCCAGTGCAGAATCGAAGAAATAGTTGTGGTGGTCACACACCTTCAAGAAACTGACAGTTCATCTGTTAAATTTATAATAAGCGGCAATTAGTGAAACTGCCTGGAAGCCGGCTCTATTTTTTTTTTTCCTTAAATCCTCCTCTGTCAGTCAGGCATTTCAGAAATGCTGTGTTGCTACAGAGAAGTGAAAACCTAAGTAGAAGCTTAGGAGATTAAATCAGAGCTCATGGAAACAGCTCAGAGGAGCTGGATGCTGCCAGTACATCGCACTTACACACCCAGTCTTCCTCCCCATCCTCACCCCATCGTCCCGTCACGCTCGCAGGAAGATGCTGTAACATTAAACTTCGGGAGCATCAGCCTGCACATTCGCTCCCCATGTAAACCTGGCCATCATTTCAGAGCAGAGACACTACACTGGCCAGGGAACAACCATGTTGGTTGTGTCTGGGAGAAAGCAAGGGTGTTATGACTTCAAAGAAGAATGAAAAGCGAAGCCCACAAGCGCTCCTGCCAGGTAATCCAGGCTATCCCCCCTCCCAAAGCTGGCTCACCCTTGGCTATGGGAGATCAGAAGGAAAGCACTCCCCACCACTCTCCGCCTCCTGGGCAGAAGGTCTCCAGCTGGGGCAGAAGGCAAGGGAAGCATCTGTGGCCACCAAAACAGGAAAGTTCAACCAAACTGGGAAAATTTTCTTTTTTCATGAAAGGATGAGCCAGAATTTTCAATTTCCAAAGGAAGAAGGAGCCAAGAAAAAAGATGCAGAAGAGAGAGCGTGTATTCGAAAGCTGCTGCAGGCAGGTTGAACCCGCGGGCTCTTTTCCACCTCTACCTGCAATCCAGTATTATCATTCTATAAGAAAAGGCCACTTCTCAATTCAAATGGGCTCTTACGAAATAACTTTGCATTTGGTCCTCATTCGTATAACACACACAATTCAATTCCAGCTGCATCAGAAGACGGAATAAACTTGCGGACTTTCATCCAGGATAATAGATTCAAAAGACAAACTACTCTCTAATCAAATGCAATAAATCCCTGAAGTGGGTAAAGAGTTCTCCCTAAAGACAAAGGCAAAGAGAAGCATAATATAATAAGCACCTTACAGAATAATAAACTCATTCATCATATTGACTGAGTTGTCTACAAGCAGTTAAATAAAAAATAATCTGCCTTTGCTCACATCTACATGCAAGCGTATCAGATGGTGAACATTCCTGAGACATCCACATAAGCCAAACAAAAGCTCACACTAATTTCACTTCTTCTGGGAGAAAAACAATGCTGACAGATCTAAATTTTTATTTAAAGATGACACAGAAGAATGTTCACAGTACAAGATGGCACTACATCGACCAGAAATGACTCCAGACATTTAGAAACATGCTGGCTATATTCATCAGATAAAACTGAATGCAAATAAGCTGGCGTAGAGCAGAACATTCATAGGCTATAACACACCCACCCCGCTGCCTTCCCACGGAGAGAAACTGCCAAATAAATCAAGCAAGGAGAGGTCACAAGATGACCTGAGTGCATAGAAGGAAAAAAAAAAATGTATTGTGTATGAGCAGTGCCCATACATACAGCTGCCATTTCTTCTAGGGGATGCTTTGAGTATTTGAACGGTTCTCCTCCCCTCCCAATCTCCCCGTATCACAACAGCGCACTGAAGGGGAAAAGCTGAGGTGGCTCCCGAAAATACATTTTCCCAGGTCACCATTTCATTAACGTGAGGTGAACGCGAGTGCCGGCTGGCTGGAGGACAGAGGGAGCGGAACCAGAGCGGCACACAGGGGTTTGCCAGCTTGGCTCACAGCGTACGCCCTGCTTGCATTGGCCCCAGCTTGCCAGGTTCGCAAGAGGGAAAAGCAGAGACAAGAGCAAGCTCAGCTCCAAGGGGAGGAGAGCAGCCAGCGCGGTGGGCATTTAGCAGCATGGCCCCGAGGAGGAGCAGAGCCAGCGTGCCAGCAGGCATCGGCCAGGACGCGTCCTCTGATGAGACACCCACCAAAGTGGACGACGAGCCAATTCAGTCAGCCCTGTCAAAAGCTTCTCTGGACGACGAGCCAATTCAGTCAGCCCTGTCACAAGCTTCTCTACCTGGGAAACAACCGAAATAACAGCTATGAAATAGCTAATGAATAAATTAGCTAGTATATTTTGCAACTGCATTAAATTAAATCAGAAAAGGGCCCCTTATTCTGGGAGAAGAGTGCCAGACTGGGAATTATTCTGGAATTTCCCCTTTAAATTCACATCACCTGTTACTCTGAAGCAACCTCACCTCCAGAAAAGCCCCAAGGCTTGAGGCCATAGGACCCACTCATTAAGAAGTCACTACATTAAAACCTTCCCATTTCATTTTCACACCTCTGAATATGTGCTTTCCAGTTTGCAGCGCTCGTGAAATTTAATTTCCCCAACCCACCAGGCTGCTAATCTTCAGTAAAGATACATCCCGGTCTAAAAACAGAATTAAAGAGGGAAAGAAGCTGCTAATCTTCTGGCCACAGCTATCACAGCCTCAGCAGGTTCTTCCAGCTCATCAAGTCAATGTGAATCAGAAGGGCTTGTGACACTGGATGTGAAGATGAGGAGACACGGATGGATTTGCAGAGAAATTTTCCCTCTATTCCAAATGTTCAGCAACTCCCTCGTGGAATTAGCCCACCTACATTTCCGTGATTTGCACTGCCCTTCATGACCTACCATCCTCCCTATCTCTGCTGACAGCTTCTGGGCTTACCTGTAACGTCTTTTCACCAGTATGTCACTGGTGATAAACTGATCATCTCATTTCTAGTCCTACA